ATAGAAATTGAATCCCCAGTGGGTTTTTCTTTTGGTTAGCTGGTGAGCTTGAGAGAAATTACAATACCAAGAGAGTGACTGTGGGATAATTATTCATCGTGGCCTGCTGAGCAGAAATTTCTGGGCAGGCAGCCTCCACGGCGCCTCGGAGGGAAGAGCCCGGGAAAAGGGCGCATGGAGTCTGGCCGCAGCCTCTGTGCCTGAGTCTTGGCGGTCAGGTAGAAGCGAACCCACAGAGGCCTCGCAGTTGGCATGGGCCAGGTCTAGTCCAGCAGCAACTGCAAACGTGAATTCTCATCAGAGATGCTGGCTGCTTTACTGCGTGGATTTTTTCTTTTTTTGAGTCGGAGTCTCTCTCTGTCATCCAGAATGGAGTGCTGTGGCACGCTCCTGGTCACCGCAGTCTCGACCTGCTGGGCTCTGGCGACACTTCCGCCTCAGCCTTCCAAGTAGCTGAAACTACAGGTGCGCGCTACCATGTCTGGCTAATTTTTGATTTATTGTAGAGACGAGGTCTTGTCAAGTTGCCCGGGTGGGTCTTGAACCCACGGACTCAGGCAGTCCCCTTGCCTCGGCCTCCCAAAGTGCTGGGATTACAGACTGAGCCACCGAGCCCGGCTGGGGTTTTTTTTTTTTTTTTTTTTTTTTTTAATTACAGGAGAGACGTTTTACCTTTATTAAGATGTTACTTTGCCTGTCAGTAGCCACGTGGCAGAGGGTACCCTAATCTCATCTAGGTTAGACGGTCCCAGTCCCTTGGTGACACGACGACGTTTTCTTCCTTGTTCTCCTTAATATGGTAATCACGCTAAAAGGTAGAAACATGCCTGAGTTACACATGTGCTTGAATTGTGGGGGAGTTCTAGTCTAGATGATAACTGAGGTTTTTTTTTTTCTTCCTTTCTTTTTGTGCAGGGGTTGAGAACTCAGTAATGCTGCAGTCCAGGCCAAAACAAACTCTGTATGATCTACTACTGATTTCCTTTTAAGTTCCCCTTTTTGCGAGGACTGACTTCCTTTTATTTTACTCCAACTGCATTAATCCCAGTTATAGAAGTTTCTTTCCTCTCTCTCTTGCCTCCAACTTCAAACATTTCTCACATAGGAAACAAGTTACTCGTTTTTAAAAAGTTCTACTTAAAAAAAAAAAAAAAGGACACGAAGACTTTTGGAGTGTATTTTGGCAGCCTGCAATTTCAGAGTTCACTTCCGAACAGGCAGAGACACGGTTGAGCCGAAGTGCCTACGTGACCGCAGTGGCCGCTGTGAGCCAGGCCACCTGTTTATCTGATCTCTGGGAATGAGGTGGTGGACACCTCTGGTGGTCATTGAATAACGAGATGCTTCATATTGCCAGGGGCCGCATATTCGTTGACTGCTGCTGCCTGTTTCCATGGGCTTCCATGATGAGATCTGGGTGTTGACCGATTGCCCAGAGAGATCAGAGCCGGAGCTTGCCTGGGGCCCAGTATTTTTAGCTCGTGTTCAATTTTGTCCCCTCCCCAGCAGCAGTTATTGTCGTTGCTGTCATTGACGCCCAGTTGGAAGGCTGTGCCTGCCAGGCCGACCGACTAGGCCAAGGAGCCGCAGCCGGCAGAAGGCAGGATGTGTCGAAACCATGCTCCAATCCAACTCTGGCCTCAGGAAGCCTGCCGGCAGCTTGGGGATTTTTTGGAAGTCCTTCTTTGCCACCTGCCTCCCCGCTCCCTCTCCCTACTGAGTGTGGTGGGCTGTGCTCTTAGGACAACTGGAGTCTCAAGGGGCCTCCTGCTGGGATCAGGCACACTGTCCTTGTTGGCCCAAGAGGATGCTTTGGGCATCTTGTTTCACTGTCACTGTCTGGAGACACAGAGTAGGGAACGGCGCGCCCATGGGGGTGTTCTCTTTCATTTCCAGACTCTTGTCTGTGTTCTTGCTTTTGTTATCATTATTATTATATGAGTGGTAGTGAGTTACTATTGTCATCATTGTTATGTAAATCATAGTGAGAGGATGCATCGAGAGGCCAAATAATGCCAGGATGCCCCCAGAGGAGCAGGGTGGGGTGGGTGCCAGGCATGCCAGCACTAGGCACCTCTCTGACCCTCAGTCTGCTGCCTGGGGGTCATAATTCCACCTACCTCCTAAAGTTGCTGTGAGCAGTTTTGAGAATGTGTGCAAAGCTGGGCTCAGCGGCTCAGTCTGTCATCCCAGCACATTGGGAGGCCTAGGCGAGTGGACTGCTTGAGCCCGCAGGTTCGGGGACAGCCCAGGCAACTTGGTGAGACCATATCTCTACAATAAATCAAAAAATTAACTGGGCATGATAGCGTGTACCTGTAGTTCCGGCTACTTGGAAGGCTGAGGTGGAAGGCTCGCTGGAGCCCAGCAGGTCGACGCTGGGGTGGCAGTGAGCGTGCCACTGCACTTTAGCCTGGGCGATGGAGTGAGACTCTGACTCAAAAAAAAAAAAAAAAGAAGAAGAAGAGAATGTGTGCAGTGCTGTGCGGTATTGAGTAGGTAGAGAAAGTTAAGAATTGTCTTCTCTGGGGCCATCATGGGCGATCCCTAATGTGGGCCACACAACGGTCCTGGAAAGTTAGACTGATGGAGTGGAATAGTCCCATCTAACTGATGGGAAAACGGAGGCACAGAGAGCTGAGCTGATTTGCTCTGTGTCCCACAACCTAGAGAGCCGCACTGCCCAACAGAAACGTAATGCCAACTGTCTATGTAATTTGAAATGTGCTAGTAGCTACATTCAGAATCAAGGAACAGTGAAATTAGTCTTCAGATATTGTATCTACCTCAACAGGGTGCAAATCCTACCGTTTCCTTGTGTGGCATTAGCCCTGTTTCAAGTGCTTGGGAGCCCCATGTGGCCAAAGGCTGCCATATTGGACAGTGCAGGTCAGAGTCTTTGTTAAGCACCTGCCAGGGAAATTCACAGGCGCAGACACCCCGTGTTTGAAGGCGGCTGCTTTCTGGGGCTAAGAAAATGCCTTCAAGACTCTCTTTTGGGTGCTTCCTTGCAGAGACCCTTAGGAATCCCCAGGCTGTTCTTTAAGTCAGAGAAAATCTCCGACTCGTGCACTCAGATATTTGAGATTTGTTCCCCCTTCTGCGTAAACTTCTGCCACTCAGCTCTTCCCAGCCTTCTTGAAAGTGGTGATTTCTTTAGTCTCGTACAAGAATGAAATAATTCCAGAAAAATCCCACATCCCAACGGGGCCTAGGAAAATTGTCAGCGGGGGCTGAGTGATTTTAGCTGGTGAACCATTTTTTAAAAAACAGTGACAAAAATATAGAGCCGCCCGGGGACTACAGTGCCAGTTGCCTGAGATTAATGGCCAGATTAATAAATGGATTGCCTATGAAAAGGCACAGGAGAACAAAAACCATCGAGAGACCGTGGAGGAGGTCGCTTATTAATGAGCTGTCAGTCCAAAGAAAGTTCAAGAAACTCTCCTGCAGCAAATGCAGCAGGCTGGCACTTCTAATAAAAGTTGGGGTCCTTCAGGAATTAATTACACCGGCCTTACAGCAAGAATTCATGGAATTGCGAACGCAGTGGCACAGACCAGCACGGGCTGCTGGGTGCGGGCGGGGAGGCTGCCAGAGGTTTCATTTTTCCATCTATCCGTGGGATATTGCAGCGGCCAGACGGGCCCGGGCTGAGTGATGAGGTCCAGACACACACCGGCCGATGCCCGCATACTTTGGGTTTGAAGTCACTTCACTCTTCATATGCAAAATTCCCTCCTGGAATCGGGTTTCCTCTTTATCTTGTGTGCCCACCACCAAGGGGTTCCCAGTCATTTCCAGAGTGGTTCCCTGAGCGTCAGAAGGACGTGACCATGATTCATCAAGCCCTTGGGGAAGGAGTGCCTGGCATTCGTTTATTCTGGGTTGCTGCGATGCCCCTCACCCCTCCACGAGCCTCGTGTTCGGGGGTCCTGCGGAAACCCTTTCTGCATTAAAACGTGCTGTTGCCTCTGCCGGAAGGAGCCTCCCGAAGGCAGGAATGCCAGGGCAGGGCAGGGTTGTCTGGGCTTGGCGATCCCATGTCACACATCGGGTACTGAGCAGGTCTTATCTTCTTCTGCTTCTCTGTGAAGGTGCAGGGGAACATTTTCTTCTGTGGTGTGTTGAGACCCAGGGTTCCCAGACCAACCATTCATCTCTTGGGTCTCAGACTTCACAGTTAACCATTTCAGTTCTGGCCTAAATGTATTCCTGATGGAGCTTGGTCATCTAGGAGATTTCTGGGAATGGACCCACGGGTGAGTTTTCTAGGGATGAGATCAATAGGCAGGAGAGGAAACAGAGAGAGGGAGAGAGAGAGAGGCTTACCTCGTGCTGTGTTTTCTTCCTTGGGGGTCCCTCACAGAATCTTTTAGAACTGGGTTGGGCTTGTTTCTTTGTTTTAGTTTTAGGGGTTTTTTTTGCACTCTTTTTTACTTATACCAGGACTGCAATGATCCATTCAGCTGTGCAGAGTGTCTCAGCCTCTTTCTCCTGCTTGTCACTTGGTTGGGATGTGGCCATCTGTCACCCACCTCTGACTGCCCAGACCCTCATAATCCATATGATACTTCTCCTTTTGATTAAAACAACATAATGGCCTTTTCACGAATAATTAATCTGCTGTCTTTACTTTCAACTCCAGGCTTTTAACTTTAATGTTGAATTATCCAGCCTGTGTTGCCTTTCCGAGTTTCACTCCTTCTAGACTTTTCCCCTCCAAGGTTTCATACCTTTCTAGAAACGTCAGTGTGCCAGCCTAAGGTTTCTTCAAGGCTCCTGAGTCACCCTCCCATCCCTTCTGCTGTGAGCTAGGTAGGCAAGGTGCAGAGGTGGGTGGGCTGGAACACAGGTCACTTCAGACTCGCATGCTCCATCATCCAGGAAATGTGGGGGCCAGCCCCATCTGGAGATGTGAAAGTCTGGTTGCCTTCGAAGAAACGATTGTGTGTATTTTTGTGGTTACATGTTTCCAACTCTGGATGTCTTCCCAACAGTGACAACTTATACCAGATGACCTCCCAGCTGGAATGCATGACCTGGAACCAGATGAACTTGGGAGCCACCTTAAAGGGGTAAGAACGTCCCTGCTCTGCCACCCATCAGCAGTAACGGACACTTGCTTGAACCATGTTCAAGGTCTCAGGTCTCAGGAGGACAGCCCAGTTTTAGAAGAACGAGCAGAGCTCTGTGGAGCATTCAGATGTCTCCTCCTTCCCCCAGTTGATGGCTGTCCTTAGTATTATGTTTTCAAAGATGTAAATAGGGGGTGTTTTTGTCTAGAACAAGGGAGTTGGGAATACTGGGGACACTTCATAGGGTCTTTCCGTGTTGAATGTTGTAGAATTCTTCCGAGTCATGTCCGTTGAACCTCATGGAATCGTCATGTTTTGCTAGCACAGATGGTACCCGTTCTGTATCTCATCGAGAAATGCTTTGGGGTTCAAAGGCCAGGATCCAGTTCCTATTTGCATGATGTAGATCTGGACAGCCCACAGTCAGATGTGCTCACACCTGGAGCACCAGCACGTGGTACCCACCCACAGTAGGGAGATGACAGCAGGGGATGGGGTGGGGGGGGAGGGGCTGTTGTCTGCACTTACAAACGAAAAAAGGGAAGGCAGGTAGGACTTGCTTTCCATGGTGAAAGAACTCACTTTTAGTTTCTTAACAAGTCTGCAGAGACAGATAGTCACATGTAACACTCAGAAGTGCCTGCAGCAGATGGTGCAGCGGGTCACACCTGTTATCCCAACACTGTGAGGGGTCAAGGTGGGAGGATCCTTTGAGCCCAGGAGGTCGAGACCAGCCTGGGCAGCATAGCAAGACCTTGTCTCTATTAAAAACAAAAAACAAAAACTGAACCAGGCATGGTGGTCACACCAGGCTGAGACGGAAGGATCTCTTGAGCCCAGGAGGTTGAGGCCATAGTGAGCTGTGATGGTGCACCTGCACTCCAACCTAGGCAACAGAGCGAGACCCCTCAACTCAAAGAAAAGGAACTGCCTGTGGGGATGACCCTGTGCTGTCTTGGTCCTGCCACACTGTTGTACAGATGAATCAGTGATGCTCACAGTGCTAAGTCCCTTCCCAAGCGCATAGCCTACTCAGTGGTCCACACCCAGGTCTGGTTCCAAAGCCCAAGCTCTGCTAGCCTCCCACTGGTGCCAGTGGGACCGGGGGACTTAGTCCAGCACTCTGTGTACTGTGTGGCTTCTCACTGGATTGTGGGATGAGGGTGGGGGCACTTGCCAGAGCCATGCATGCTCCATCCCCACCCCACCCCCTCTTCTCTTCTAGAATGGCGGCTGGGAGCTCCAGCTCTGTGAAATGGACAGAAGGGCAGAGCAAGTGAGTGGACGATGTGCTGGTGGGAAGGCAGATGGCCAGGCCTCGGCCACTGGGCCCAGCTGAGCAGGCGTCAGGGCTGCCGGGGCAGGCAGGGCTGGTGGCTGGAGGCTCTCTCCCTGCTCCCTCCACCTCTTGTTCATTGCAGACTGCACCGTGGGTGGGATGGAGGTGGTGACGTTTCTTATCAACACGCTCCAGAAAATGATTTTTAAAATGACGCGTGGTAGTGCACGCCTGTAATTCCGGCTACTTGGAAGGCTGAGGCGGAAGGATCGCCAGAGCCCAGCAGGTCGAGGCTGCGGTGGCCGGGAGCGGCCACTGCACTCCAGTCTGGGCGACAGAGTGAGACTCCAACTCAAAAAAAAATAAAAAAATAAAAAAATAAAATAAATAAAATGACGCACCAGGAACCCCCATGAACATGTCACAGAATACTAAACTTGTGGTATTATGCACTTTCCTGTTAGATCAGTCAAGTTTTTCAGTTTTTATTTTTTGAGTTGGAGTCTCACGCTCTTGGCCAGGCTGGAGTGCAGAGGCACACTCATGGCCACCACAGCCTCGACCTGCTGGGCTCAGGCAGTCCTTCCCCCTCAGCTTTCCAAGTAGCTGGCACTACCGGTGCGTGCCACCATGCCCAACTAATGTTTTTGATTTTTTTATTGTAGACAAGGTCTCAAACCCTCGGGCTGAGGCTGTTCTCTCACCTCTGCCTCCCAAAGTGCTGGACGTTTTTCAGTCTTAACTCACGTAATTTGCTGTTTCTCTACTTTTACATCTCTCAGAGAGAACTTCCTTTTTCCCCAAGTCTGTGGCCAGACTTTGTTTCTTGCTCATTGGTGCCTTTGGCATCCTGATGCCTGGTGCCCTGGAGGCTCTGTGGCTGTTTGTTTTTGTTGTCGTTTCTCTGCTGAAATACCAGAACACTCCTTCTTTCTTTCACTGGCTGGCTTCTGTGGTCTGGATCGTTCTCTCTGACTTGCTGTTTAGACCCTTCTCCCCGCTCAGCCCCCAGTGTGCTCACCTCTCTCTGGACCCAGAAGTCGAAAGCCTTCTGTTGCTTTGGGTGGTTCGCCCCACTTCCATTCTGGGGCTGCTGACGATGTGACATTCTCTCTTTCCGCCTACGGTCGACTTGTCCTCCGTTTCTTGGTTCTTGGTTCCATCCTTTCTGGATTTCTTCCTTTTCTTCTTTCTCCTCTTCTCAGAATCTGAGAATGCTCCCCGAGCTGAGGGCCCAGAATAGCGTGATTGTGAAGTGAGCAGTGCGTTTCAATTTCCAAAACTGCTGCATGCTGTAATACGGGGTTGGTTGGATTGTTTAATTGTAGAAATGACAGATAAGAAAATCTGGCAATGTGTTGGAAGCTGGGCCTTTCCATCGCTGAGATAAAACAATTTTGATACTTTTTAAGGTCTTTAGACACATGCTGTTCGTCACTGGCTGAGGAGCCAGAAGCTCTGTGGTGAGGCTGGAGCACAAAGTGGGAACGATTTGTTTCGTTCCATCTTGTATCGAGAGCAAAGCTAGAAGAGTTTCCACTGGTTTGTTACTTATATCTTGGAAAGGGATTTCTGAAATAAAAATTATGTCTCGAATGCTAACTTTATTCAGGGAACTGTACAAAAAGGCCCCAACAGATAGTCCCACAAAAGAACAACTCCTTGGAGAGCAGGAAAGGGACTGTGAAGATACCTGGTATCCTCTCTCACCCTGTGGCTTCATCCCTTTAGAACATCCTGTTTGCCGGCTGGTTTCTGCTTCCATTGGGTGAAGAGAGCATTTACCTGAGGATGTCCGTTAGCACAGTGGCGCTCTGTGGGGCTTTATGTGTGTTTCCTTTCCTGCTCTTCCAACAGCCCAGGATGTTGTGGTCATGTCCATGTTGCAAATGAGGAGGCTGGAAGGATTCGGCCCTTCCAGGCTCATATAGCATCAGGGGCAGAGCTGTGTGGGAGTCACTTGTGCCTGACGCGGGGACCTGGGCCCTGGGTGAGACCGTGACCTTTTAGACTTTGGCCACAGTTAGAAATGCCTTTTACGCCGAGACCCGATATACACCCACGTGCACACACACAACACACATTTTCACTAAACGGCACTTGCCCTTTTGAGATGTGCAGATGTTTTGGATGTGCAGATGTTTTCTTCTCTATCCTGTACCATTTTAAAAAATATTGATTAGGACACACTAGGTGGATTTTACCACCCACTGATGTGTCACGACCCACCTTTGACCTTGATCTCTTTTAGCTCTCAAAAGTGGGAGTATCTTACCTCTCCGCCAAGCCATGAACAGCCCAGAACTGGATTCAGCGGGATCTGTAATTCTGGTAGAAGTTTCCCTTCCCCCGGAGGAGACACCCTCTGAGCTGGATCATTATTCTTGAAGATACTGGATTTACTTGCTTTCGCATGAGACGAAAGCGCTACCAATGTGGAAAATACATTGAGAAAAGATACCCCCGAAGAGAAATTGGGACACATGGCTCTTGCTTTCATCTGTAACCAGTACCCGGACACTGTTTGCAACCAGTAGCGGGAAAAGTCATGGTGACAAGGTAGACTTATAACAGGAAAGCTTTTAGAGAAGAAAGGTGCACTTTTTCTATCAGTCATAAAAGTGAGGTATTATCAGTGTTTACGCGAAAGATCATGTCTCTCAGACTAGACCCCGTCACATGCTTGCTTGTGTCTACTTTCCCTGAAAATGTTACTTTCTGAAAAGGTGACTCCACGAAGAACAGGCTCCTTTCCATGTATTTTGTAGGTTCCTGGAGACATCATTCATGGGACGTTGGGTTTTAATAGGCAGGGGAAGGGTTCTCATAGTGCTGGGCAGGGTTGAGTGAAAGTCTGCTGCTCCGGTCTGTCTCCCTTTACCCGTTTTCTGGTCTCTGCACGTCCACTGGGAGGGGAGCTACTTTGGTGACCTCACATGAGAGAATGTTGTATTTCAGTTTAAGGCAGAGAGAAGGTACTTAGGGAACACACTCCTTTCCCTCACCCACAAACAAATGAGATTAGATTTCCTAACAGGTCTCTGAGGGGAAAAAATTACTGGTGAATCTTAGAAAAGCATGTCCACTATTATGAAAACTTCTACTTAGGGATCCTGTGTATCTGCTTCCTATTTCTTTATTTTTTTTTGATTTTTTTGAGACAGGGTGTTAGTCTGTCACCCAGGCTGGAGTGCAGTGGCATGACCATGGCTCACCACAGCCTTGGCCTCAGGTGATCTTCTTGCCTCAGTCTCCTGAGTAGCTGGGACTACAGGTATATGCTGCCATTCTCAGCTGATTTTTTGGTTTTTTTGTAGAGATGGGTCTTGCTACGCTGCCCAGGCTGTTCTCAAACTCCTGGGCTCAAGCGGTCCTCCTGCAAGTGCTGGGATTACAGGCATTTCACCACGCCCGGCCTTTTTATGTCTGTAAAAACATTTTCTGGGTGTTCTCAATGGCGGCAGGTTTCCTAAGGCTCCCAACGAGCTTCGGCTACTCTGTTGGCCTCTGTTTTGTCTCTCCTGAAGACAATACCCTGCAAAATGGAGAAACATATCAACCTTGACTGTGGTCCAAGTTATTAAAACAAGGAAGAAGTTATCCTCCGGGGACTTGGGCAGGGGGAGTGGGAAATCAAACACAATGGAAATGTTAAAGGAGTGCTGAGCAAAATGAATGTCCCTCTGTGGGTCCAAGAAGTTCACAGGCTGTTGGGAACGGAGCGTTTGACCTGTGGATGCTTGAAAGGAAAAACAAAGGCCCCCCCCCCCCCGGACAAGTGATGGATGGGGCCCCAGGGCTGTGCGTCCTGGCCGCCAAGGCTGTAGAATCTGGGAAGGTCCCCCTAGACGCGGTCTCATCCAGGAGAACCTGTGCCAAGAGAGATAGTTGTCGTCTCTGGCTGGGAGCCCCCGCCCAGCCTGGCACCTTCCCTTGTGGGCTTGCGAGCAGGAGGGACCTGTCGGGGGCCCGGCTTCTCGGAAGAAGCTGGCTTGTTCCGAGCGGCTCCCGGAGCCTGGGATGCAGAGCCACGGTGGAGAGGCGGCCTTCCTGGGCCTCCGCCCTCTTCCCTGCAGAAAGCTGTGATCTCCTCCTCCCCACAGGTCCGTGGGTGCCCTAGGCACAGCTGTGTCTTTCTTATCGCCTGGCCTTGGGCTGGACTGGGGTCTGTGAGCTCTGCCAACTGGAACCGGGCATGGGACTTCTGGGCTTGATGAGGTAGAAGGAGGGAGCCGATTTGGAAGCTTCTCTGTCCCTCCCAGGTTGCTGGTCTTGCCCTCCCTCGTCTCTTTGGGCACGTCTTCAACTCAACGTGTTTTATTTTTATAGTGGAAGTAGTATGTGTGTAAATGAGAGACCTTTCAGAAAGCACGACTCCACAGGAAAGGAAAGAAAAGTCCCTCTAACAGCCCAAATGAAATTACTATTCATAGGAGGGCGGGCACGCCTTCAGACCCGTTTCTATGCATATGTGAACATCTGTGTCATTTTCCCTTTTAAAAGATGATTGGCTTCGGCAAATGCATATTTCTAGAGATAGAGCTGTCGTCTTTCAGTCAAATGGTGAGAAAAGGGTCTCAGAAGAGACCAGGATAGCATGGCAGACAGGGGACATCCAGGACACTCCTCCAGGGCATGAAGTTTTGTTCATGGGAGTGTTGACTCCGTAAAGGTTTTTCTCAGCCTCTTTGTTTTGAGTCGGAGTCTCACTCTGTCGCCCAGACTGGAGTGCAGTGGCCGCTCCCGGCCACCGCAGCCTCGACCTGCTGGGTTCCGGCGATCCTTCCGCCTCAGCCTTCCGAGTAGTCAGAATTACAGGCATGTGCTACCACGCCCGGCTGATTTTTTGATTTATTGTAGAGATGAGGTCTCGCTGCCCAGGCGGGTCTCGAACCTGCGGGCTCAGGCAATCCACTCACCTCAGCCTCCCAAAGGCACGGGATTACAGGCTGAGCCACCGAGCCCGGCTTTCTCAGCCTCTTAAATACCTAAAAAAA